CGAATTGAAGATAAGCAGCAAGAGAAAATCACAAAGTACCGGGACTTGCAAATTGTAGTTGAGCGACTGTGAAAAAAGAAATTGTGTGTTGTCCCGATTGTAATTGGAGCCCCTGGAGCAATACCTAAAGGGCTACCTCACTATTTGGAAATTCTAAATTTATCAGATTTAAACATTCTGACTCTACAAAAAACCATCCTACTTGGAACAGCTTATATCCCCCAATGTTACCTTAACAGTTCCTAGGTTCTTGGTTAGGACTTGAGCTGTTGAGCTACCAACCAGCCCCAAAGGCTGTGAATCTCACCAAAGATTAACCACATAATAATTAGTAGTAGTAATAGTAGTAGTAGTAGTAGTATTTATACCTGGCTGAGCGGCCTAGCAGTCATTCCTGGGTCAGTGGAAAAACTCCCCAGTTCCACAGTTGTCTGAAGAAGTTCCGTGGGATCTAAGAAGAAAGCGGATTTTTAATCCTCATTGACATTCATCTATATCACATTCATCACATTTCTCTTCCATGTGGGAACAGATACTGGAGGTTATTAAAAAGCCCTAATTCAACTTGAATACTCTCACAAAAAACGGTCATCAGTTTTTAGTCCCCCGGTAACGTTGAACAGTCGTAAGCCGAGGGCTGCATGTGTTACGAGAAGGAGGATGTGTTACAGTTGGGCAAGCAGCCTCTGACGCTGGTCTTGCTCATAGAAATGGCAGATCTCCTGCCTCAAAAAGGTAGACCAGGAGATGTTAAACTTCCAGTGTTCGGCAGCCCTACAACAGGCGCCTTCATTGTGATGCGTCACTCCAATTGCTAAATGGAGCCTCCCCGTTCAAAGGCCATATATCGTTCTAAAGAAGAGGAGGCATGGGAGCAATAGCAATGGCACTTAGACTTATATACCGCTTCACAGTGCTTTACAGCCCTAAGTGGTTAACAGAGTCAGCATGTTGCTCCCCCACAACAATCAGGGTCCTCATTCTACGGACCTCAGAAGAACAGAAGGCCGAGTCAATCTTGAACCAGTCGGGCTCGAACTGCCGAACTGCTGGCAGTCGGCAGAAACAGCCTGCAATTTAGTGGCAAATTGTAACAACAATTGAGCGGAGAATTTATGTGGCTAAGCGAGAAATTTGTTAAGTGAGTTTTGCCCCATTTTACAACTTTTCTTGCCACAATGGTTAAGCGGGTGACTACTTCAGTTGTTAAATTAGTCACCCGGTTGTGAATCTGGTTTCCCCGTAGACGTTGCTCGTCAGAAGGTTGCAAAAGGAGATTCCCCCAGACCCCAGGACGTTGCAACTATCGTAAATGTGAGACAGTTGTCAAGCATCCAATCCAATCACACATCCAAGAGGGTGCTGCAATGGTTATAAGTGTGAAAAATGGTCATAAGTCACTTTTTTCAGTGACGTTGTGACTTCAAATGGTCACTGTTCTGACACACACACCCCTTGTCCCACACCAAAGCACGCCGAGCCAAAGATACTTTACGGAATTTATTAACAGACAGACAGGTCCTTGGCAGAAAACCAGCACAGACAAACCTTGTCAGCAATCCAGCCTGCCAAGCTAGTTCTCCAACATTAGTTAATGCGTTGACTCCTGCAAAAGGGGCGTGTGCACAAGC